CACCATATTGCATGTTAAAGGGAATATGTAATTGAAAATCACGTCTAATAATATAATTCGAACAACCGGTTTTAGGTTCCTTTTTAATCTTGTTTAACCAAGTGATCACAAATATTCTAGAATTATGTGTTGCATTTATATTCAAACAATTTAGCCTAATAATCATTTGGAGAAAATTGAATCTTTGTTTGCATGCCTTTGAGATTGCAGGAATCACTTTTCACAATAAGAATCGAGTAGAGGCCAAATCGGGCAAATGTGACTCCATGACTCACTTTGTACCATCATCCCCGATCCTCCTTTCGTGGTTCCGAACCATATGGAGTTAGTAATCTCATGGATTATGAATGGGGTGTAACCTTTACGGGTCAATCGTTGTTGCCTATTGTTGTCCCTTTATTCGTGGTTGTCTTTTATGATCCATGAACGGTTTACAAGTTCCTTAAAAACTTGTTGGCGACTCCCTACTTTGCTTTGTCCCTAATCGTATATGCCAATTCCCACTTCCTAAGAGTGTCAAGCATATTCACAACATGCTTTTAACGTAGGCGCACTTCGAACGACGCTTACAGTGTGTATGGTCAAGATGTTGGCTAGGCATGAGAACTCAAAGTATTGGAAATGATGATGATGTGTGTTCTAATAAGATAACAAAGAAGGTTAAGGACATCAGCCAGGCAACCACCACTTGCAAAGCATTCCCATCTAGTTCCTATTGATCTTGAATAACAAGATATGCTCTTGTGGTGCTTAGCAGCTATCTAGGTACCTTGCAGGCATGCCATTAGGGTAATGGTCCATGCAAAGGTTGATCCTTACAATTATATCAGCTCTTGGTATTCTATGAAAACATACAAGCAAGTGTACTGCCACTACATAAAATACAGTGCTTGATATCAGTCAGTGGCCAAGCATGGATATTTTCCCTTCAAAAATGAAAAGATGGATATGCAAGCCTAGCAGGAAGGGAAGAAGGGGAGGATCATCCTAGGAAAAGGTCAAGGGAAAACAAGTGTGGCAGCTATACTGTGAATGTTTTGGACATAATTCTAGGACATGTAAGAGAGATTTAACCAACAAAGAGATTGCACAACATACTACAACAATGATTGATGCTTCACATATGCAAAGTCAGCCTCCTCTCAGCCACTCACAGTCCCAAACTTAGATAGCTTTGCATTTTCTAGCTTGAATTTGCTTATATTTTATCAGAATTGAACCTTTGTGTTGGTCAATGTCTATAATTGCTTTTACAATCAGTTTTAATTTCAGAATTCTGTATCATGCTTTTGACAATCACTTTTGTACTCTTTGCTTTTGACTTATGCAATGAATGGAAAATGCAGATTTCTTTGGTCATTATTTGTGTATTGAATTATGCATTTTGATTTGCACATCATTTGTAATACTTTAAATAAGCATTTTAGTAAATTTTAAATTAGAAGTCCATAAAAATAACATACTTAGCTTTATTAATATCAAATAAAAGATTACAACTGCATTACATTATTACTAAGCTACCACTAATAACACCATATACATAACAATAGCAATTTTGACCACCAAATGAACAAAGTCAGCAAATTCATCTGTTTTGTGCATGAACTTATTTAATTCCCTCCTTATAAGGTTGAAACCTTGTAGCTTTAGGTGTATTAGCAACCCTACCTGATGTGTCAATAACAATATGTTCCTCCTTAACCCACATGAAGAATTCACACAACCTGCACTTGTAGTAAGGTCAACCTACGTTTGTAACAGAGGTTGAGAATCTGATATCAGCCCATATCTTGAGGGGTCACAATTGCAATTAACTGATTTGAACCACAAACTCCTACTATTCCTATTGCTAGAAAACCCCATGTCAGAAGAAGCCTCTCAGAAGAAAAAAAAATTAAAAAGAAAGTAAAGAGGGAAATTCGAGAAGAAGGAGAAGAATAAGCTGCAAAAGAGGGGGGAAACTATATATGCTATTGGAGAAAAGGAGGGAAAGTAAATAGGGGAAAAAACGGAGTGAGTTTTTAAGTTAAAAAAATCGAATTAAGCCAAAATTAACTTAGGATTAACGTTAATTTAACGATAAGGTTACTACATATGAGTGTGTGAAATCTTGGATGTACTGCTGATAAATAATAGTTAAGTAGGTGTACCATTGATAAACGCTCGAACCTTGGTTGTAACATTGATAATTTCTCAAAAAATAATACGCATAGTTATATTTTGATATGGGGAATAAGGAAGGGGAATAATGGAACTTCATAATAAATGTTTTCTAACTTTGGACATATTCTAAAGTGCCAAGTTCCTTTATTATTAATACTACTCGTAGTCAATAATTATTAATTAGCTAGATTTGTAAGCTAGAGTAATAATTCTATTATTCAATTTAGTTAGTACTCTCTCTAATCCTAAATGTTCTTTCCATACAATTTGACAGTGCATGTGTAGTTAGAACTGTCGATGGGGTTGGTCTAGTCGGTTTAATGTCAGGTCACTCCGGATCATGGGTCATTTTGGATCGAGTCACTTCAAATCACGGGTCAAGATATGCACAACTGTAACCTAAAGTTTCGGGTTCATATCAAGTTGATTTAAGAAATATATTTTTCTTTAATTTATTATTAAGCAATTTTTAGAACATTTTGATTTTTTAAGCTTTATTTGTTGTTTAGTTTTCAATTTTAGTAATCAAACATTTTCACCAAAATTATTTTTAGCCAATACATGTCAACTACTCGATCCATTCCATAATATTTTGCCTCATTGCCAATTTTTGGGTCAAAGTTTAATATTCTTAACTATAAATTCTAGTTAATATATAAGAGGTATATAGTCATGTTACATTTTTATGAATTCGTCTAATTGTATTTTTTTTTACACAACGCGACAAGTCAACAACAGGAATAAAACTAGACACGAAAACAATCAGTTAATATCAAAGGTTTTCATCAGTTTACTTAAACTGGTCGAGTTATGTTGAGATTTCTAAAATGAAATTAACCCGCCAACCAGCCTAAGAAAACAACTAATAATTATGGAATTGTAGATATATATATTGGAAGAGGCTAATACATTTTCAATGTTTTCATATAACACAACATGACATATATAGTACCCCGTACACGGTAAAAGCAAGTTAGTATAAAGGGTAAAACGTTTAATTAAACACGTTTATAAAATAGGTAGGATTAGTGTTGAGTCTCTCCCAATCTGTTTAATTTCAAACACGTACACGACAACCCATACGATTGCTTTAGATCATCACTTTGGTTTAATTCATTCCAAAATAACATAGCTTCAAATTGGTAGTGACGACTTTTTAAAATTACTTTTTATCTTTTCTTGTAATGTGACATTTAAACATTGTGCAATTAATTTGAAGCTGGATTAGTATGAGAAATGCACTAATTTTTGCTGCCAAAAGGCCCAAGAAGACTGACAATTTTGCAAAAAAATAAAATAAATAAATAAATAAAATGGGAGAAGCTACATGGAACAACTCACAGGTAATCTCACCCACGCCAGAAAAAAACTCGGCATAATGTACTGTAAAATTGTAATACTGTCTAAGAATGATTCTTTTCTCTATTTTTTTTTTTTTTTTTTTTTTTGGGGGGGGGGGGGGGGGGTTAATACTAGGTATCCATTGATATCCTATACGAGAGAGATTAATGTATTATGTACATTTTAACTACTAAGTTAGGACCATCTGAGATATTCTGCAACCCACTTCTACTATTGAATACAAGCAGTCAGAACACAGTGAGAAAAATCAAAATATATCTAACCAAAAGATCTTGATGAGTCATGTATTGGATATACATTCTCTACATCGTTAGTCTACTCGACAACCTGCATAAAAAGCCCATAGTTATTACTTGGAAGGACTGAAGGAGTCAAGTACTGAGAGTGAGAAAGACAGGATAGGCAGACATTTTTTTTAAAGAAAGGAGGGGGGTGGGAGGGTTCGTGTGGCAGTAGAGGGATCTAGATTAAACCGACATGTTTAGATTGAATGTAGAACAACACAAGAGGCAATCAAAGCACATGATGGCTAGCATAAGTGAACACAGTTAAGTAGGATCATGAAGATATGAACTGGGTAAAACATATAGAAAAAAAGAAGAGAGCCAAGAGGAAAGACAGTATTTGAGCATTCCATTGTATCTCTCAGACATGTACAGCTGGAGAAAGCATGCTTAAGTGAAATAACAAGGGCAAAGTTCATATAGAAATTTATCACTAATTCAGGGTTCATATATATGCAACAGAAAGTAATTTAAATCAGATAATTCACATAAATGTGACGGGTCTTTATCGATCATGCCATCTTCAAGAAACATTATAGAATTTCGGTCCATGATTTAAAGTTTTAGCAACTATTTTCCATTACAGGTACATCAGACATGTGATACATCAACAATTTTAGTACTCAATTAGAATTATTCACAAACTTTCCAAAAGATATACAACAGCTTGCATAGATTCTTGCATAGATTCATAGGTACATATATGCTGAAACCACAGAAGTCTTGAGAAGGCATTTAGAACTCTATAGATTCATATTTTTTTTTTTTTTTTCTTTCAGTAATTTACTCTGTTCACTTTCCCTTGATTTATAGGTAAAGACAGATTCTAGCAGTATAAAATAGGCAAACTAGCAAAGTTGCAAACTATATCTCTATCCTGACACGGAATAGATTTGAAATAAGCTTTAGATGTATGGTACATCTGTCAGAATGATGAAAATTTCCTTGACAGCAAGTGTTTCAGGCAAGTAAAAAAGTTAGTAGTAAATCAAGCCATAAGCAAAACACCATGGCAGAATAATGAACAGGTATTGGCTCGAGATATTCAGCTCTGAGCCTCTAACATAAGCCAGCAAAAAATATAAATAACAGAACAAACAGCATCTAGCAAATGCAAGCATACCTACATATACAAGGTACATGAAATGTTACACACAAGGAAACACAATCTTGGGTCTACATTATTTCAAATTTTAAGTAAATACCACCTTGCTATAGTCTAGCAATCTGATTTGTATATTTGTAAACACCACCTAGCATTGCAGTATTTGTAATTAACAATAAGATAGAAGGAAAAAGACTGCTCTGATTGATAACAAACGATTTCAAAAGTCAGCAGCTTTATGCTGCAAGTCTCCACTAGTGAATTGAGGTCAAAACTCTAAAAATAGGCACTTACAATCACAACTATCTTAAGGATTCACTCCAAAAATCTGCCTACCCTTTCCTTTCTCCACTTTCCCTATTTTGCAATAAAACTTAAAACTATTAAACGAACAATTCTAGACTACCCATATTAACTCTCCTTAGGTCAGTTTATTACACACCTTTTCCACGGAACTACATCATTAAAATCAACCCCAGATCATAAGCAAAAGTGCCAAACATCAAATACATATATTCATCTTTTGGAGGTTATGTTACATTAACTTGCAAAAATGAAACACAGGGTATTTTCTACAACATTTTACAATTTCTGTAACTAATACAAAGTATCCAAGCACCCACATCAATGCCAATACTCAAGTTTCAAAAATGGACATGGAAAGGCCAAAGTGTCAAACAAAAGTCAGTATAACATTTTTTTTTTCTAATTCGATGTCAGCCAAATAGATTAGAAAGTTTGACACCATAATAGCTTGGAGGTGGGATTAGAGAGAGATTAAATCATTACCTACACAACGAAGACTGGAAGAACACCCGAAACCACTTTCCAGGCGCGCCAAATGGTCAGCTGAGACTACATAGAGTCCAAACTCCTTAGCAACCGAACTCAAAGAATTGCTCAAGTCCTCCTGTAATGCAATGCTTCCCCAGAAACCAGTAACTTCCTGAACAAAGCAGATAGTCCAAAACTCCCACTCCGATGTAACATAAACATTTCGAAGAGACAGATACTTTATAGCCATTGCCAGCCTATACATTTGACTACCATGATCACTTTTACTATGATGTCTTCTCACCTTCCGCTTGATCACCATCCTCAACCTCGACCCCAACACCGGTCTCATTTGAAACCCGAAAACAATCTTTGATACCGCAACATATTCTTTCCTTTTCTTCCTCTTCCCCTTCTTCAAGCTCAACTTCCTCGCCCTCAATTTACCCGGTTTTCCTCGCCTTTTTTTCTTCTTAACACTCCATTCTTTAATCTTCTCAGACAGTTTCTTCTCAAAATTTCTTCGTTTCGCCATCAGTTTATTACTCCAAATTAACCTCCCCAATGCAACAGTGAAAGACAACAATGTAGGACTATCAGCAGTGAATAACAAAAAATGAAATCTTCGCATTCGTTTTCTACTCAATTTACCATCTCGCTTCCATAATCGACTATTAAGTTCTTGAGAAAGCATAGATTTATAATCTCCATTGTAACCCATAAGCATCATATGCACTGACACTGAGATGAATCAAAACAAGAATTGACATAAATACACACTCAATTTCAAACAAATTTTCCATATACTCAAGAAAACAACAAAGAATTGAGTATCTAAAAAGGAGGAAAATATTAACATTATATACAATCAATTTTAACCAAATTTCCCACAAATTCAAGAAAAACAACAAAGAATTGAGTACAAAAATCCTTACTTTTTTCTGCAATTTTGGTTCTATCACCAACCATCTGTTTCCGATAAATCTTCCCCATCTTCTTCTCTCACAATCGATCAAAACCCTCAAAAACTGCGGTGTAAAAATGCAAAATTTAGAAAAGAAAAACCTCGACAATTGAAGCAAAAAAAAACCCCAATTTAGCACTAAATTTTGAAGAACCGAAGCAAGAACAAGTGAAATTGAGAAGGAAATAGTGAAAATTTGAATAAAAAGAAAAGGCGGACTTACATAATTTCAAGGGTTTAATGTTGGAAGGAATTTACACTGTTGAGTTGAGAAGGTACAGTTTGCAGGTTTATGTTTTTGCACCAGAATTTATTTCAAGGGAATGAGTACGCGCGCTAGAGTGTTTTTGCCTAATTTTGGCGGACGATAACCCGTATGATATGTGCTTTTGTTGTCAAAAAATTTCATTTTGGTATAAGAGGGCAGATTAAAGTGGGCCGGGTGGATGCTATGGACTTAGGCCATATGACTAGATAAAGGGCTAGCATGATCTATTTATCGAGCGGGTTGCGTAGCTAAAGCCGCATCTACAAACCCTTTTTTATTTTTGGAAAATTTTCAATGATAGCTACTACATCCGGTCCAAATTACTCGCAACTTTGGAATAATTTATATCTCACAAATAAGACCCTAAAGTTGCGAGTAATTTGGACCGAAGGTAGTATATACTTTTCATCATTCTCAATGGTAACAAAATATTTGACAAACTCCCACAAATAACTTTAGTTTTTATAAAATTCCTTTACATAACAATATTTTTACAATTTAGCAACTATTTAACTTAATTTAACAATAATTAACAAAAAAATTCTTTTAAAAAAATAAACTAAAACAAAAACACACTCCTCACCGAACTCCTACCCAGCCACCCTAAAACGAAATCTCTCTCACCACAGTCACCAGAATCTCACTCAGCCACCTATAGAGAACCACACAATCCTCACCGAAATCCCACACAATCACTCCTAAAACCACACACCCTCACCTAAATCCCCACCTAGAAATCCCCAATGCCCAACTTAAAGCCACAAAAATCCAACCCCAAAATGAAAACACCGGAAGATGGCAGGATGGAGGGCGGAATTTAGGGATGCCAATTAAAGAGAAGTGGAGGGATGTTAGGATTTTGATAGGGGTTTGGTTTAAACACTATGTGGGGGTTCAGGCGTCGGTGGTGTATTTTTGGGGATGGGGATGGGGTTTCGATGTGTAGCCAGCAGCTTAAGGGTGGATGAAGGAAGGGTTATGTATTGTTTTTTTCTTTTTTTTTTTTTTAATCTAATTATTGTTTGATTAAGCTAATTAGTTGCTAATTGGAAGAATATTGTCATGTTATAGAATTTTATTAAAGTAATGCTATTTGAGAGAATTTGCCAAATATTTTGTTACCATTGAGAATGAGCAAAACAACATAGCTACCATTGAGAATTTTCCTTTTAAAAAAGTCCTTTCTTTGATGTATGTCATATAATTAGAGCTGTCAAAATCTGACCTAACCCGAGAACCCGGCTGAAGCAACAATGATCTGATCATGACCTGCACCCGAACAATAGGATGAAACTACTAACCTGTAACCCGACCTAAACCACGTCAAATGTTAACCAATAACTGACTTGATTCAATACTTTATGACCTTAAACTGAACCTTCACCTGACCAGATAGTAATCGTCAACTAATTTGATCTGACTCGACAACAATTCGAACCCGAACTAGTACCTGTAGACACCTAAAAATGTCTCCCCAAAATCAAACCCGATGATGAACAACCTTTCACTGCCGTTATTGGTCGGGTTGAGCATTTAATATTTGGAGTGCTTAAATCCATGTTCTATCCAATATGTTTTATGAACCAATCCAATTTCTAGCTCATTTCCCTAAACCATAACCTATTTTCCACTTTTCGTATCCACATCACAAAACCGAGATAAACTGATTTTATGGATATATAATTTTGATCCAATTATTATTTGGTTGGATAGGCCTTGAAATAAGATTTCCAACCATATATCATAAGCCCAATTCCGAGCTATAACAAAAAAGATATGAGCAAAACACTAAACTCGGCCCTAAACCGACACCCTTTCACTAAAACGGCCATATCTTAAAATCTACAAATCATTTTTACCTGATTTTGATTGGGTTGGAAATTAGAATTGATAAAATTTCCAATGATATATTATATTCCTTATTCTGAATTACGGATCAAAAGTTATAATGATTTTTAAAACGGTTAAAAAAACAGGAATCGTCGCGTAAGCAACAAAACCACCGCGTCACGGGGGAATGTGACGTGGCACGGGGCCTGGTACCGTGACACGGGAATTCTCAACGTTTCACAGTGCCAGGTGCTGTGACACAAGAATTCTTATGCTTGTTTCCGAACGCATAAATTCCCCGCGACACGGGGGAAGATGACGTGTTACGAGGTATGGTATCGTGACACGGAATTTTCACCGTGTTACAGTGCTTTCCCGTGTCTTTTCCGCGTTTCATTCCCACGCGCTTAAGAATCTAGACGCAAAAACTCCAGTGTGTCACAGGGGATGATGACGTGGCACGGGGTATAGTACCGTGACACGGGATTTTCACAGTGTCACAGTGCTTTCCCGAGTCTTTTCCGCGTTTCATTCCCACGCGCTTAAGAATCTGGACGCAAAAACTCCACCGTGTCACGACATGTCTTCCCGTGTCATGGTACACACCCCGTGACAAGGGATTGCTTCGCATTTTCTCCGCGTAATCCCTAAACGCGTTTTATCCTCTGTAGGTTTGTATTTGTCCCACGTCACACTGTTTTCCACCATGTCACGGGATTTTCCCCCGTCTGACGGTGCCTGGCACCGTTTCACGGTGTTCTCTACCGTGTCGCGGTGTTAATTTTTATGGTTTATATCTTTTTAGGGTTCTTTGTGTTCCCTCTGGTCATTTTCCCTAAAAATAGGACTCCCCTTTCTGCAGTTCGGGCATAAATCATTCTCTCTTCCTCTCTTTTACACCAAAAATCATTATATTCTCTCTCTCCCATATTCTAAGCCTTAAACCTATATTCCTAATTACGACATTTTTCCTTTAAGCACTCCAAGGAGTTTATACTTAACCCGAGGTTCCGTACTTAAACCAAGGCGTGAAAGGTACAAATAGCTGAGGGTTTTGACCAAATAAACTCTACATTTATTTAATTTAATTATGACTAATAAGATAATTTGGACAACCGGTTTAGGTTCATTTTTAATCTTGTTATTAATTAAAGTGATCAGTAATATTTTAGAATTATATGTTGCATTAATATTAAACCAATTTAGCTTAATAATAATTTGGAGCAAATTTAATATTTTGTTTAATTTGTATGCCTTTGAGATCGTAGGAATGCTTTTCACAATAAGAATCGAGTAGAGGCCAGTACGGGCGAATGTGACTCCATAACTCACTTCGTACCATCATCCCCAATCCTCCTTTCGTGAATCCGAACCATATGGAGTTAGTAATATCATGGATTATGAATGGGGTGTAACCTTCACTGGTCAATCGTTGTTGCCTTTCGTTGTCCATTTAATCGTGGTTGCCTTTTATGATTCGTGAACGGTTTACAAGTTCCTTAAAAACTTGTTGGCGGCTCCCTACTTTGTTTGTCCCTAATCGTATTATGTCAATTCCCACTTCCTATGAGTGCCAAGCATATTCACAACATGCTTAACGTAGGCGTACTTTGAGCGACACCTACAATTTGGCGACTCCACTAGGGAGGATTCTTGGTTATTTATCGATTTAAATGATCGATATTTAATTAAGATGAGTGGATGAGACTTTAAAGATTCTTGAAAAATGTTCCTGTGATTAATTTGGCATTTTTGCATAAGCATAGACGTTTTAACATCGCATTTAGGTCTGTCCCGTAGGAAAAATTTAATAACTTGATTGCGAACGAAGGAAAACAGGGCACCAGTCAGATTTTCTGACTGCCATGCCACGGAAGATTCTTCCGTGTCACGGTGCAGTACACAGTCACGCGGTGTGCAGCACCGTGACACGGTGCACTCTTTCGTGTCACGGCAGACCTTAAATTAGTCCAGTGGCTTATTTTCTCTTCTCACAGTCAACTTCCTTCGGTTTTTCTTAAAAAACGTGTGTGTTCTACATACGTCTTCGCCCCGGGGAATTTAAGCTCTATCAACCCAAAAACTCTTATGGCAATAAGGGTTCATCCGAGTTTTTAAATCCACCCAAACCATGGAGTCGAGTTCGATTTCATCACGAACTCGCGGAGCCGCCCGTTGGCATACACCCTCAAGGGAGGATGCCTTGCTAACGCGTCCAAACTCTTAACCATGGTACCCTATTGACACCAAATAAACCTGACCATAGTCAAACATAGAACTTGACCTTAGGTTGCAAACTCTGCTTTGCATCATGGTGCCTACATGTTCTATGTGAGCATATTTGATCATTTTGACCCGAACCATAACGATCATTCTTTGTCTATGGTGGATTATTTTATGACTAACGATTGCCAATGGACCGTACTCACTTAGTAATTAGCACAAACTCTTAAATCTAAAAAAAAAATGTCGTGCCACGTTAGCTCTACCGCGCCGCGGAGATGTTTACCGTGTCACGACAATTTTCACCGTGGCACGGTGGATTTCCAGCAAAATAAAAAAAAATAGAAATGATCACCGCGTCACGGCATCTTGTACCGTGACACGGTACAGTTTGCCGTGTCACGGTGCCTAGGAAATAAGTCTAGTCATCTTTTTTTTAATCTTTTGTGTTAATTTGGTCCTCGCGTAGTCATTTTGGTTACTGTTAACATGTCTAGCCATACGATCATACCACGAGTCTTATAACATCACTTAATTACTCACGAGTCAAGTATAGTCCACACATTTTCTTTATGTTCCGACTCTAATCGTGCACCAGGTCGTTTATGATCGTATATTCATGCACCCTTTTTTTCGTCATAATAAAAAAATGAGTGGAGTTTTCTTACCTGTTTTCAAATGTCTATTTTTTCCTTCCTTTCCTATCTTGAGCAATGAGTCAAACAATTAAGTGAATTTATTTCATTTCACAGTACTTGGTCAAGGAGCAGGGGTAGATTGGTACGGTTCGAGTCATTACTACATCAACCTCTTAGGCTTTAAAGAGAACTTCACCATCTCCACATCACTCATCATCTTCAAACTACTTTCAATTTGTCCCAATTCCCACTAAGGAAGATATTGAGAACATTAACAAGTCCATTGAAACGATGTCTACCATGTTGCAAGCTCACTACCAGAGTCAACACAGTAGAGCAAAATAATGTTACTGCGGCTGCAATGGACAAGATCAAAGAGAAAATGAGCAAGATTTATGAGGATTTCACCTATGTGGAACAGCCTCCTACTCCTTTGGATGTGAAGGACAGACTCCCTGAAAAGTTCTCCACAGCTGATATTCTAAAGTTCAAGCCTACTGACAATCCAATATTCCATTTGAAGGCGTTTTCTGCAACCATGGCTCTTAAGGGATTGGACGTAGCACTCTTCCCTACGGTGTTCCCTCTCTCCTTAGAACATGCTTTCCAACAATGGTTTTATTCCCTAGATGCCAAGC